CTTACCGGATGAGGAGTATGATATCTTCGTGCTCACTTTGTTGAATGGGAGATCTTCTATCAGCTATAGTGAAGTGACTAACGATTTGACGAACTACGATTTGAGGAGGAAGGATAAGGAGACTTCCCGCGCTAGTATTTCAGGCGAGACCTTGTCGACGAGAGGTGGAAGCCCATATCCGAAAGGTGGTAATAGAAGAAGGTCAAAGTCAAGAAGCCGTCATCAATTAGCAAAAAACCAATGTGCATTCTGTAAGAAACAGGAACATTGGAAGAGAGACTGCCCGAAGCTTAAGGAGAAGGAGAATGGCAAGAAAAAGGGCCCGAAGGCCAAGAGAGACTGCCCGAAGCTTAAGGAGAAGGAGAATGGCAAGAAAAAGGGCCCGAAGGCCAATGAGGTGAACGTTACGAAAGACGATGATTCCGATGATTCGTGCTTTTCTCTATTGATTACTCCGGAGGTGAACCATGTGGATGCATCAGATTATATGCTTGATTCCGGCACTACTTATCATGTGACCCCTAGGCGAGACTGGTTTGCATCTTTTGAGAAAGTCGACGGGGGTGGTGTTGTCATGGGAAATGATCAATCCTGTGACGTTTGTGGGATAGGTACCGTGCGGATTAGGATGCATGATGGAGTAGTCCGTGAATTGAATGAGGTGAGATTTGTTCCTCAACTGAAGAAAAATCTTATCTCAGTTGGAGCTTTGAAGGCGAAGGGATTCAAGGTGACTTTCGAAAACGCTGTAGCGAATGTTACTAAGGGATCATTGGTGGTGATGAAGGGAGTCCGCAATCAGAATTTGTATTATCTGAAGAGAAGCACCAAGATTGGCCATGTTGCTTCAGCTATTTCAGAAGCGGGCATGAACAAACTTTGACACTATAGGTTAGAACACACAGGTAAAAAGTCACTGCAGGTATTATGCAAGCAGGGGCTATTGAAGGGAGCCAAGAGTGGGAAGATTGAGTTCTGTGAGCACTATGTTCTTGGCAAGAAGACGAAGGTGAAGTTCGGGACTATCATTCATCAGACGAGGGGCATCCTGGACTACGTGCACACAGACGTTTGGGGTCCCACCAAGACTGCATCACTTGGTGGTCGACATTGGTTCGTCACTTTCGTTGATGACTATTCTAGACGATGTTGGGTGTACACCATGACAAAGAAGAGTGAAGTCCTAGATATATTCGTGGAGTGAAAGAAGAGATTAGAACTGCAGACTGAAAAAAAGATCAAGACGTTGCGATACGACAACGGTGGTGAGTATATTTCTGACCCTTTTCTGCAGCTATGTTGAGACGAGGGCATAGAGAGGTACTTCACGGTTAGTCATACACTGCAGTAAAATGGGATGGAAGAGAGGTTGAATCGGTCTTTACTGGAGAAGATCCGATGCTTATTGTCGCAGAGTGGTTTGGAGAAGATCTTTTGGGCTGAGGCACTTACGTATGCAAGCCACCTCATTAATAGGCTGCCTTCATCTGCGATTGAGGGGAAGACCCCTATGGAGAAGTGGTCGGGAGAGCCAGCACATGACTATGACCAGCTAAAGGTATTTAGGTGCCTTACATATTATCATGTTAGAACTGATAAATTGGAACCTCGAGTTAGGAAGGCCATATTTGTAGGATTCAAGCGTGGTGTCAAGGGATACAAGCTTTGGCATTCAGTTGATAAGAAGATTGTGCTGAGTAGGGACGTCACGTTTGATGAGACTTCTATCTTGAAGCTTCTTAGCTCTCATCAGGTGAAGAGCGACCCGACACAGGAGATATCGCAGGTGGTGGAGATCGATACAGCTCCACATTGTCCAGATGGTACAGAATCCATTAGAGTGCTAACTGAGATGACGCCAGATGAACACGACGGTGACACGGAGGATACGGGTTCTGATGTGCAGGATCAGGGACCGATGGCTCAGGTTCAGGATTCAATTGTGGTTCGGAGACAGAGGAGAAACATACAGATGCCAGCACGATATGCCGACACAGTTGCGTATGCACTTCCGGTGGAGAGTATCGATGAGTTGGTGCCTACTATATTCAGAGAGGCCGAGCAGAGTTCGGAGGCTGATTCGTGACAGGTGGCTATGCAGGAGGAGATGGAATCTCTTCATAAGAACGATACATGGGAGCTTGTTGAGCTTCCAAAGGGACGGAAGGCAATTGGTTGCAAGTGGGTATACACGAAGAAGGAGGGCATTGAAGGTACTCCATTGAGGTTTAAGGCTAGGTTGGTTGCGAAGGGCTATGCACAGGAGGAAGGTATTGATTATAATGAGGTTTTCTCTCCGGTGGTGAAGAATTCTTCGATTCGGATTTTGCTAGCTTTGGTGACACAGTATGGTTTGGAGTTAGATCAGTTAGATGTGAAGACGGTATTTCTTCATGATGATCTTGATGAAGAAATATATATGACTCAGCCATTGGGATTCCGAGCTGCAGGGAAGGAAAAATTAGTTTGCAAGTTGAAGAAATCGCTATACGATTTGAAGCAGTCTCCTCGATAGTGGTATAGGCGATTCGATGGTTTTATTATTGGCCATTCGTACACTTGGAACCAGTTCGATCCTTGCGTATATTTTCGCAAGTTGAAAGGAGATGTGTACATTTATTTGTTGCTCTATGTCGATGATATGTTGGTTGCCTCTATTTCCAAGTAGGTTATAGATGAGTTGAAAGTTTAGCTTTCAAATGAGTTTGAGATGAAGGACTTGGGTGAGGCGAAGCGCATTTTAAGGATGGAGATCGGCAGAGACAAGAAGAAGGGCAGAATTTATTTGACACAAGTGGCTTATTTGAAGAAGGTTCTACAGCGATTCCATGTTAGCATGGATACGAAGCCAGTTGGTGTACCTTTGGGAGTCCATTTGAAGCTTTCAGCTGGTCTTTCACCGAAGTCAGTTGAAGATCGTGAGTTGATGTCGAAGACTCCATATGCGAGCGCAGTTGGGAGCTTGATGTATGCAATGGTATGTACGAGACCAGATTTATCACAGGCGATGAGCATGGTTTCGAGATACATGCACGATCCAGGAGTGGGTCATTGAGACGCCGTAAGATGGATTTTGAGGTACATTCGAGGTACGCTCAATATTGGTTTGGTTTATGAGCGGGACACTACAGATGGGCAGTCATACATTGGCTATGTTGATTCGGATTATGCTGGGGATTTGGATAAGCGTCGGTCTACTACGGGGTATGTATTTACTTTGACCCGTGCGTCGGTATGTTAGAGATGCACCTTACAGTCTACGGTGGCTTTGTCTACGACGGTGACAGAGTATATGACAGTTACGGAGGCTGTGAAGGAGGCTATTTGGCTTCGAGGACTTTTGAAGGAACTTGGTATATCGTAAAGGTCCGTTACTATTCATTATGATAGCATGAGTGCTATCTATTTGGCAAAAAATTAGGTTTTTCATGCAAGAACGAAGCATATTGATGTTCGTTATCACTTCGTTCGAGATATCCTTGAAGATGGTGATGTGGAGATTGTGAAAGTCCACACGAAGGATAATCCGGCGGATATGCTCACTAAGGTGGTTCTGAGCAACAAGTTTGATCATTGTCGAAGCTTGTTGCATATTCGTGATTGTTGAGGCCGTTAGCGACCATTTAGGTGAACTACGTTCGGCTTGATTCGTTGGGCAAGAGGATACGTAGACAGTCTTTATGATGCAGCCGGTTTTTGGATTAGTTAATTTTGATGGGGGTGAGATTGTTTGGACTCTTGTTCGGGTTCTCGACTTGTTGTGGATTGAGTCCGTTGTTGTGAATTGTTTCACGGCGTACTCGACACAACAAGTAAAATATTTGGTTGCTTTTGTGTCGGCTCAGTTTTGAGAAAACTTCACTGAGGTGAAGAATTGTGAACGAGGACGTGAACGAAGGCCCAGGCCCACCCGATTGATTAAGTTGCTATCAGGAGGCTATATAAAGGAACATTGTTCCTAGGGTTTTGTTAGTGCGAGGAGTCTTGGTTTGTGCGGCTGTTTCTTCGGCAGAGGTGATTTTGTCTTTGGCTGCGGGAGAAAAACGCAGAAGTGTTGAGGAGATTTTGAGCAGTCCCTTTTAGGGTTTTGTGCATCCCTTTGAGAGGTATTTGTGAGGGATTTGAGAGTTTGTGTGAGGGTTTAGATTGAGTGATTATAAACCCTAGTTGTATTCTCTCCCTCTAATAGTAGATCTCCTCCTCATTTTCCTGTGGACGTAGGTAATTTGTCGAACCACGTAAAATTGGTTGTATCGCTATTTGTGTGATTTGTAATAGCTTTTAGGATCCCTCGACAGGTCAGTCCTAGAACTGATGAGAGGAAGAGCCGATATCTCACTTTGTTGAGATATTCGCTTCAGATTCTTGTTTCCTTGGTGAGACGGGAATTCTTATTGCGACCTGACTCTCTTGTTGTGCTGCCGAAGTGCTGCCGAAATTTCTGCTGCACGCAACAATACCATCAAAAGGTAGAATGTGGAGCATGCAGCAAATGGAGTGCATATAACCATGTAATCTTTGATAACTTTGAAGTAGTGATCATCACATCATTTGATGATATTATATTTCACGAATTCAATAAAAGAAAAGGAAAATAAAGAAAAACACTTTCTGTTAATAACTTTTCATGATTTATAGAAGACGCCCTGGAATTGTGGATGCTACATGGTTAGATGGTATGATGATGCAAACAAGAGTCATGTCTAGGAACAAACAAGCTATACCCGTCATTCAACAAACAAATAAAGGAATGCTAGTATGACCTAACAATAGCTTAAACCCACCAATCTTCCGAACTTCAAAATACCTGTAAGGGCACGCTTGCTGTTTCTCTGTTCATTTATGTGGTTGATATCTCATTCTTGCTTTGCATTCTTCTGTTTCTCTGAACTCTGATAGTATTATTTACTTCTTATTTATAGCCTTCCACTGCTTTTAATCTATATATTTTCAACTTTTCTCATCTGAGCCATCAGTTGGTTCCCTCCCATTTCTTGTAGGTCCTCGTGAGAAATGTCCCTCCAGATCCGGACGAATCAGTTAGCGAGCATGTTGAACATTTCTTTTCTGTAAATCACCGTGAGCATTATCTCACCCATCAGGTTTGGATCTCTAAGATTTCTCCCTGGCAGCAGATTTCTTCATCTGTAATTCTGCATCTTAATTAAATGTTATATTTCGCAGTTTAATCCATATTCAGTTGATGAAATGTCATTAATGGAATGCCTAGTTTATTTAATTTCATTACATGTTTAAGATAAGTCGAAAGTTGAGCTATGGTTCCCGACCTTATTTTTTTCCCTTCTCTAGGTCCTTTGATCTTTAAATTTGTCTACATGATAAGCCTGTTAGGAATCCATAGTAGGCCTGTGAGGGTTTGGCATGTTTGGAAGCGTTGCTTCTTAAGTCAGCTACTTACAGTTAATGCCTGAATTTTACTGATCAGTCGTATGATTTTTAGAGGTAAACTCAAGTCGTCCTATGCTGTCATCTCGTTTAACTTTTTTCTAGATTACCCACAATGTATCCATTGTAGGTTGCATAGGCTTTAATATGTTTGGAACTCTATATTTGACTAATTATAGAAGCTCCATCTTATTTTTCCATATTGATTGTCTGGGTTCCCGAGAGATGATTAAAATTTCTATTCTGAGGAACAAAAAGGAAAACAGATTTAGGTTTTTATTTTCCTTAAATATATGTCCATGTTCATGCCAGACTCCTGGTTCCTTTAATCCGGAAAATTCTGCTACTGATTTTTGTTTTTGTAGTGTGAAATCATGCCCAGAATAAAAATCTTCTCTATGATGCTTGTTGTTTTTTAACTAGTACTTATCAGCACTTATTTCATGTAAGGATAAACATTCACAATTTCATTTCTTTGGATCTATTGTGTTTTTTAACTAGTACTTATCAGCACTTATTTCATGAATAATAAACATTCACAATTTCATGTCTTTGGATCTATTGTGAAGATCAATATATAGAATTTGAATTTGTAGGTGTTAGCAGACATACCAAAAGGTTTAGAGGTTTATTGTATTAATGCAATTGAGGACTGGATTTTTTTTTTTTTGGGTGACATTAAAGGAAGAGACCTACATATCTTGGCTGCAAATATTTCCTAATCATATCTATTTCTTATTAGTGTAAATGGACTGGTATTTTGTGTGTTAATATGCACCATATACTTTATCATGTTGTTTCAAATTCTTGGGTGATTTTCTTGAACTACAGAAAGATGCGTATATGTGTTGTCATCTTGCAAAGGTGGTTTTATACTTTCGAATATGTCCATTAGTTTAGAATTTGCTTAGTAGGAAAAGCCTATAAATCTCTAATTATATTGTATATTACATATGGTGGTAGGTTGTATATAATGCGAATGCACTTGCAAAACTTGTCGACAAAAGGAAAGGTCTGCAGAATTGGCTTGTTTACTATGAAAACAAGTTTACTAGAAATCCTTCAAAGAGGCCAACCTGTAAGGTACTTCGAGTTCATAAAAGTTATTTCTATTTTAATATTGTTATTAATTCATAAGAGTTCAAATGACTCAGGTCTTCTAACCAATCTATAAAACTACCGTATATCATAGACAGGACTTTTTGGAATCAGTGGGACGAGAGTGGATGCAATTGACTATTACACTGCTAAGATTGAGGAGCTAAGAAATGAAGTACGTGCCTCTATATTTGTTATTGGATTTTAGGCTCTTACTGATATTTATAACTATGTACTCTTTTTCTTCCAGTAATGGCTCACCCAAACTATCAAATATCATAACAACCTTGTTTTCTGCATCTTATTTTTTTAATCCATTCGTAATATTTCATATTTTGGAACTTTAGAACAACTAAAGTATATATCTGACTGTGTGAACAGTTCATGATCCCGATGCTACCAATCGTTTGTAAAATTTCTCGTATGATATTTGTAGAGGAATGTGTTAACATATGCAGACTTTTGAACTTTCCTTCATTTACCCCTCTCCAACTACCAAAGAAATGTATCCTTACATGTAGATCATTCAATTTTTTTTTTTTTAGTTTACTCCAACTCAAGGTCTATGCAGGAAGCTCTCGAAACCGAAAAGATAATGACCGACCCTAAGGAGATAATTCCAGCAGCATTTGTCTCATTTAAAAGTCGATGGGGTGCAGCTGTCTGTGCTCAAACCCAGCAATCAAGTAATCCAACGTTATGGTTAACTGAGTGGGCTCCTGAACCTCGTGACATTCATTGGCAAAATCTTTCTGTCCCGTTTGTGGAGATTACTATTCGGAGGTGTATTATGACCGTCGCGCTTTTCTTTCTGACCTTTTTCTTCATGATTCCGATTGCATTTGTTCAGTCTCTTGCGAATATTGAGGGTATACAGAAGGTTGCGCCATTCTTAAAACCTATAATGGAAGCGTGAGTGTAATTTTGCTTTGATTTTATAAACTGTTTTTTCTGCCTGGTGGGCAGGTTAATTCTCCATTTTTGTTATAATTTCTATATCGTTGCTCCGCTTTCTCAAAATGTTTCTGAACTAGTCAATCATTTCACTTAAAATGCTAACTTATGGGAATGCTCTGCAGGCCTGTTGTTAAGTCGTTCATACAAGGTTTTCTGCCGGGGATTGCATTAAAACTCTTCCTTATCATTCTTCCATCAATACTAATGACTATGTCCAAGATAGAGGGTTACACATCATTGTCAGCATTGGACAGAAAGTCGGCAGCAAAATACTACATTTTCGTCTTTGTTAACGTGTTTCTTGGGAGCATAATCACTGGAACAGCATTTGAGCAACTCGAAAAGTTTCTCCATCAATCTACTACCGAGTACGTAATGTCTTCTTCTATTTAAAATTTTGCAATGTAATTATGTAGACATAATTACATTTATGCTTAGCATGTTATTGCAGAAAAGTTGCAATATTAGTTTCACTGTGACTCGTAGGAAGAAGCGTAGGGCTTTCATCAGTTAATTGTGTGCTGATCCATCTGAAATACCATTGCTTTATCTGCACAAAGATAAATAGGTTAGTTGTGAATAGGCCCCCTGTAGTATCACCCAATTGCGAATAGACCCCTTAGTATTGGCCCAAGTGCGAATACACCCCTTGAACTTTTTTTACTCTTTTAAAAGTACAAAAAAGGGTGATACTACAAGGGGGTCTTTTTGCAATTAACCCAAGAAAAATTGATGCCACAGTAAGTATACGGGTTCTCAGTTAATCTATTTGGACTTTCGATATGCCAAGTATGCTTGCATCAAGGAATTCAGAAGTCAGCTAGCGCTTAGATCGCCAATACTTGTTGTTAAGGGGTAAAATAGGCATAAGCAGGACCAGTAGGTAATTTGTATTGTTCCAATTTTCTAGTTTCTGTTATCATGCTTTACTTTTGGTCACCTCGAGGGAACACATAAACGCGTTCTCCTGATTGTCATGAGCTTATCTTCTTCAGTTGCTTCCTACTGAAAAAGAATTCCTTATCATATTTCCAGAAAAGCAACCTTCTTTAGGCCTGCTTATGTTTAATTCTTTGGTTCTTTCATGTTATCTTACTTGCACATAAGTTCAAAGCGAACAACTTCATTTGACACCATCTAATGCCTAGAAAAAAATCTTGATATTGAATTTGAACTCCTTTTGCAGGATTCCCAAAACCATTGGTGTGTCCATCCCCATGAAAGCAACATTTTTTATCACCTACGTAATGGTGGATGGTTGGGCAGGAATTGCTGCCGAGATTCTTAGGTTGAAACCATTGGTCGTGTTTCATTTAAAGAATGCATTTCTAGTTAAAACCGAGAAAGATAGAGAAGAAGCTATGGATCCTGGGAGCCTGGAATTTGCAACATCTGAACCGAGGATACAGTTGTATTTCTTGCTTGGCCTTGTCTATTCAGTAGTGACACCGATTCTGCTTCCTTTCATAGTAGTCTTCTTCGGTTTGTCTTACGTTGTTTTCCGACACCAGGTTTGTCGATTTTGCAACTTTCTTCCAACAAATCTGGAGTCTGGACTTTGAGCTGAATTTAGTTTTCTATACTATTTTAAGTATCTTTTGCTATCCGCGGCTCCATATCATAGGTTGTTTGCTTTTAGCTTTTTGATGATGTTGTCTCTGCGAACGTGTTCATGAGATCACGTGAACATCAACCCAACTGAGAATGTATCTCGTGCAAAAGTGGGGGCCACAACCTTTTCCGCTCTCAATGAAAACCACATGATGAGATGAAATTGCAGGCCCACCCGATATGATCACAACTATACATATCTGTTTCATTCATGCCCTAGGTTGGCGTGCAAGATCAGAAGGGATATGATCACAACTATATATATCTGTTTCATTCATGCCCTAGGTTGGCGTGCAAGATCAGAAGGGGAAAAGTCGCAGCAGGTGCAAAAAGGGGTTCGTGAGCAGAGGCTTGGCGGCTGTAGCAGGTGGAGAAAATTTGCAGTGGCTTTTGTTAGGGTTTTGAGCATCCATTGGTGGAGATATTTGTGAGATTTGAGAGTTTGTGTGAGGGTTTAATTTGTGTGATTGTAAACCCTATTTGTATTCTCTCTCTCTAATAGTAGATCTCCCCTATCCTTATCCCGTGGACGTAGGCAATTTATCGAACCACGTAAAATTGATTGTTTCGATGTTTGTGTGATTTATAATAGCTTTTTTAGGTTCCCTCGACAGGTCAGTCCTAGAACTGATGAGAGGAAGAGCTAATATCACACTTTGTTGAGATATTTTGCTTTTGAGGTGCTGTCGAAATTTCCGCTGCACACAACAAGTGGTATCAGAGCCCAGATTTCAGATTTAGGGTTTTAGAATTAGGTGGAGGAAGATTCTTGTGTGAAGTTTGGTTCTTAGAGTTCTAGGCTTCGGTGGAGATAACATTAGGAGTTGTCGTTGAATATTTCGCTTTTCTCATGTGGATATGAGATCTATTTGGAATCTGATCTAGGGTTCAGTTGAGTAATTCTTAATTTCTATCAAAGTTTGATTCTTTCTCTATAACTTGGAGTTAGTTTGCAATGGGAGAATAAGGTAAAAGCAACAAGTCGATGGCGAGTACAATTCAAGTTGGTTTTTAGAACACCAAAATTAGTGTGGTGAAGTATGACGGTAAAATCAACTTTGATTTGTGGATGAGTGACGTACATGATGCGTTTAATGCTCAAAACTTGGAGGATACCATCATGGTCCACAAGAGATCACCAAAATATGAAGAGGGATATGAGAAAAGATGAATAGGAATGCTTATGGGGTGATCAGATCCTGTTTGGAATAGGAGCTGAAGTATGATGTGATTGGGATGACGTCTGCAATAAAGATATGAGAAATTCTTAACAATAAATATCTTACAAAGAGTGTTGAGAACCGGTTGTACTTGCTGCGAAGATTGTTCAGATTTCAGATGTCCCGAGGCACCTCACTAGCGGCTCATGTGAATAACTACATTAAGTTATTGTTAGACTTAGCAAATATTGATGAGAAGATATCGGATGAGTATAATGCGATTATTTTATTGGGCTCCTTACCGGATGAGGAGTATGATACCTTCGTGCTCACTTTGTTAAACGGAAGGTCTTCTATCAACTATAGTGAAGTTACTAATGCACTAACGAATTATGATTTGAGGAGGAAGGATAAGGAGACTTTTCGCACTAGTACTTCAGGAGATGTCTTGTCGACGAGAGGTAGAAGCTCATATCCGAAATGTGGTAATAGAGGAAGGTCAAAGTCAAGAGGTCATCACCAATTAGCAAAGAACCAATGTGCATTCTGCAATGAGCAGGGATATTAGAAGGGAGATTGTCCGAAGCTCAAGGAGAAGGAGAACGGTAAGAAAAAGGGCTCGAAAGCCAATGAGGTGAATATTACAAAAGGCGATGATTCTGATAATTCGAGCTTTTCTCTACTGATTACTCCGAGGGTGAACCACTTAGATGCATCACATTGGATGCTTGGTTCCAGCTCTACCTATCATGTGACCCCTAGACGAGATTGGTTTGTATCTTTTGAGAAGCTCGATGGGAAAGTTATAGTCATGGGAAATGATCAGTCATGTGACATTTGTGGGATAGGTACTGTACGAATCCGGATGCACGATAGAGTAGTTCGTGAATTAAAGGATGTGAGATTTGTTCCTCAGCTGAAGAAGAATCTTATCTCAGTTGGAGATTTGGAGGCAAAGGAATTCAAGGTGACCTTTAAAAATGTTGTAGCGATGTTACTAAGGGATCTTTGGTGGTGATGAAGGGAGTTCGCAGTTAAAATTTATACTATCTGAAGGGGAGCACCGAGATTGGCCAGGTTGCTTCGGCTATTTCAGAGGTGTACATGAGTAGGCTTTAGCATTACATGTTAGGGCACACAGGCGAGAAGTCACTGTAAGCGCTGTGCAAGCAGGGGCTATTGAAGGGAACCAAGAGTGGTAAAGTTGAGTTCTGTGAGTATTGTGTTCTTGGAAAGAAGACGAATGTGAAGTTCGGGACGGCCATTCATAGGACGAGTGGCATCCTGGACTATGTGCATACAGATGTTTGGGGTCCCACCAAGATTATATCACTTGGTGATCGATATTAGTTCGTCACGTTTGTTGATGACTATTCTAGACGTTATTAGGTGTACACCATGAAGCATAAGAATGAAGTCCTAGATTTGTTTGTGGAGTGGAAGAAGAGATTGGACCATGAAGCATAAGAATGAAGTCCTAGATTTGTTTGTGGAGTGGAAGAAGAGATTGGAACTGCAGACTGGGAGAAAGATCGTCCTAGATTTGTTTGTGGAGTGGAAGAAGAGATTGGAACTGCAGACTGGGAGAAAGATCAAGACGTTGTAATCCGACAATAATGGTGAATATACTTCAGACCCTTTTCAGCAGTTATGTCGAGACGATGGCATAGAGAGATACTTCACGGTTAGTCATATACCGCAGCAGAATGGGGTGGCAGAAAGGCTAAATCAGTTTTTGCTGAAGAATGTCTGATGTTTATTATCGCAGAGTGGTTTGGATAAGATCTTTTGGGCTGAGGCACTTACATATGCGAGTCAGCTCATTAATAGGCTGTCTTCATCTGCGATTGAAGGGAAGACACCTATAAAAATATGGTCAGGAGAGCCAGCACATGACTATGACCAGCTCAAGGTATTTGGGTGCCCTGCATTTTATCATGTGAGAACAAATAAATTTGAACCTCGAGCTAGGAAGACCATATTTGTAGGATTCAAGCGTGGTGTCAAAGGGATACAAGCTATGGGATCCAGTTAATAGAAAGATTGTGCTGAGTAGGGACATCACATTCGATGAGACTTCTATCTTAAAGCTTCTCAGCTCTCATCAGGTGGAGAGCGACCCGACAGAGGAGATATCACAGATGGTGGAGATCGATACAGCTCCACAGTGTCCAGATGGTGCAGTGTCCATTAGAGTGCCGACTGAGGTGACGCCAGGCGAGCACGATGGTGATACGGAGAATACGGGTACTAATGTGCAGGATCAGAGACTGACGGCTCAGGTTTAGGATTCTGTTACGATTCGGAGACAGAGGAGAGACATATGGATGTCAGCACGGTATATCGATACAGTAGTTGCATATGCACTTCCGAGGGAGAGTATCGATGAGTTGGTTGTAGGGTGAAAATTTGATTCTTCCGAAGGAAGGAGTTTCGTTTGTATTTATAAGAAAGCTTATTACAAACTAACAAATCAAATATTTACAACAGAAGCAGAGGGAAGGCCCTCTTTGTTTTTGTGTGGGGACTTTAGGTGGCGATAGGATGCCTCGCTCGGTGCTCGTGCCGAGTCTGCTTCCCTTGGACGATCCGATCGAAGTTGATGCCGGAGCCGGAGCTTCGGTTCTCAAATGAGGGAGCCTTTGGCAAAGGTCCAGGTTCAACCTTTGGGAGATTAGCCAGCAGAATATGCAACGGCCAATCCCCCTTCTTCATGCTGCTGAAGATGGGTTTTAACAGGCAAGGGATGGCATGGGCTCTCCCTTGATTCATGGGATTTGACCACTAATAGAGGTGAGGGAGATAGCTTGACTGCTCCTTGAATTATGGGATGTGACCACACGTTGTTCGGAGACGTCCTGCTGTTCATTCGTACCGTCAATGGTCATTCGAAGAGCTGTGCTATGCATCACACTACATAGGAGTGGGAAAGCCCCTCCTCGTATGCGTGACAACGGCTGTCAGATGCTTGCGTGGATCTGACCAACCACCGAGCGTTGGCGGCTCTCGTCCCTTCACCTGGACAACTGAGGTGAGCCGCATTTATGAGGGTGCAGGCTGTTTCGGCGCCTGTCCGCTCATTCGTACTGTGGACGGCCATCTGACGGGCCTGGAGTATTGTGCCCTCTCCCTTGATTTGTGGGATTTGACCACTGATGTAACTGTTCCCATACTCCAAGTGGGCAGTTGACAGTGAGCTGGCGAGTCTGCAGCTTGGGTCTGCAGGCGAGCTTGCAGGCGAACTGGGTCTGCAGGTGAGTTTGGGACTGCAGGCGGACTTGGGTCTGCAGGCGAGCTAGCAGGCGAACTGGGTTTGCAGGCGAGCTCAGGTGCGCAGGCAGACTTGGGTCTGCAGGCGGATTTGGGACTGCAGGCGAATTTGAGTTGCAGGCGAGCTCCTGAGCATGGATTGAAGAATAGGCCGTAACTTTCAAACCGTAAGTCGGAATTGGACGAATTATATATGAAAATCGCCTATCTCGACGAGATGGAGCCATCCGAACCAAGCCGAAGGCTTCGGTTCGCTTCCTCCGTTTTGCCAAATTCCTTACGGTTTGGGAGATATCTGCGTTTTCCCCTTTTTCGCTATTTCGGGTGAGGTTTTAGCAGTTTTGTTCTGAACTTCTCTGATAAGGATTTAAAGGCGATTTTTATTGCCTACATTGGTGCCTACTACATTCAAAGAGGCCGAGCAGAGTTCGGAGGCCGATTCGTGGCAGGTAACTATACAGGAGGAGATGGAGTCTCTTCACAAGAATGATACGTGGGAGCTTGTTGAGCTTCCAAAGGGGTAGAAGGTAATTGGTTGCAAGTGGGTATACACGAAGAAAGAGGGCATTGAAGGCACTCCATTAAGGTTCAAGGCTAGGTTGGTTGCGAAGGGCTATGCACAGGAGGAATGAATAGATTATAATGAGGTTTTCTCTCCGGTAGTAAAGCATTCTTCAATTCGGATTTTGCTAGATTTGGTGATACAGTATGATTTGGAGTTAGATCAGTTGGATGTGAAGACGGTATTTCTTCATGGTGATCTTGATGAAGAGGAGTTAGATCAGTTGGATGTGAAGACGGTATTTCTTCATGGTGATCTTGATGAAGAAATATATATGACTTAGCCATTGGGAACGGTATTTCTTCATGGTGATCTTGATGAAGAAATATATATGACTTAGCCATTGGGATTCCGAGCTGCAGTGAAGGAAAAATTGATTTGCAAATTGAAGAAATCGCTATACGGTTTGAAGCAGTCTCCTCAATAGTGGTATAGACGATTCGATGGTTCTATGATTGGTCATTCGTACACTCGGAGCCAGTTTTATCCTTGCGTATATTTTCACAAGTTGAAAGAAGGTGCGTACATCTATTTGTTACTTTATGTCGATGACATGTTTTGGTTGTCTCTATTTCTAGATCTGCTATAGATGAGTTGAAGGCATACCTTTTAAAGAAGTTTGAGAGAAATGATTTGGGTGAGGCGAAGCGTATTTTAGGAATAAAGATCGATAGAGACAAGAAGAATGACAGAATTTATTTGATACATGTGGCTTATTTGAAGAAGGTTCTACAGCGATTTCATGTTAGCATGGATACAAAGTCAGTTAGTGTACCATTGGGAGCTCATTTGAAGCTTTCAGTTGATCTTTTACCGAAGACAGTTGAAAATCGAGAGTTGATGTCGAATACTCCATATGCGAGCGTGGTTAGGAGCTTGATGTACGCGATGGTATGTACGAGGCCAGATTTGTCACAAGCGGTGAGCATGGTTTTGAGATACATGCACGATCCAGGAGTGGGTCATTGGGACGTCGGGAGATGGATTTTGAGGTACATTCAAGGTACGCTCAATGTTGATTTGGTTTATGAGTGGGACACTAGAGGTGGTCAGTTGTGCATTGGCTATGTTGATTCGGATTATGCCGGGGATTTGGATAAATGCCGGTCTACTACGGGGTATATGTTCACTTTGACCCGTGCGTCAGTGTGTTAGATATGAACCTTACAGTCTACGGTGGCTTTGTCTACGACAGAGGCAGAGTATATGGCGGTTACGGAGGTTGTGAATGAGGCTATTTGGCTTCGAGGACTTTTAGAGGAACTTGGTATATCGCAATGGTCCGTCACTATTCATTATGATAGCATGAGTGCTATCTATTTGGCGAAGAATCAGGTTTTTCATGCGAGGACGAAGCACATTGACGTTCGTTATCACTTCTTTCGGGATGTTCTTGAAGATAGAGATGTGGAGATAGTGAAAGTCCACACGAAGGATAATCCGACGGATATGCTTACTAAGGTGGTTCCGAGCAATAAGTTTGATCATTGTCGAAACTTATTGCACATTCGTGATTGTTGAGGCCGTTAGCGGCCATTTAGATAAACTACGGGTGGCTTGATTTCTTGGGCAAGAGGATACGTAGGCAGTAATTTATGATGCAGTCGATTTGGTGAGTAGATACCGACGTTTGGAGTTTGTTCGCATTCTCATTTGGGTATCGACTTGTTGTGGATTGAGTCCGTTATTGTGAGTTGTTTCACTTCGCACTGGACACAACAAGTGAGACATTTGGTTATTTTGGTGTCGGCTCGGTTTTGGGAAAACTTCGTCGAGGTGAAGAATTGTGAACTTGTTCATGAGATCACGTGAACATCAACCCAACTGAGAATGTATCTCGTGCAAAAGTAGGGGCCACAACCTTTTCCGCTCTCAATGAAAACCGCGTGAGGAGATGAAATTGCAGGCCCACCCGATATGATCACAACTATATATATATCTGTTTCATTCATGCCCTAGGTTGGCGTGCAAGATCAGAAGGGGAAAAGTCGCAGCAGGTGCAAAAGGGGTTCATGAGCAGAGGTTTGGCGGCTATAGCATGTGGAGAAATTTTGCAGTGGCTTTTGTTAGGGTTTTGAGCATCCATTGGTGGAGATATTTGTGAGAGATTTAAGAGTTTGTGTGAGGGTTTAATTTGTGTGATTGTAAACCCTATTTGTATTCTCCCTCTCTCTAATAGTATATCTCCCCCCTCCTTGCCCCGTGGACGTAGGCAATTTGTCGAACCACGTAAAATTGGTTGTCTCGCTGTTTGTGTGATTTGTAATAGCTTATTTAGGTTCCCTCGACAGGTCAATCCTAGAACTGATGAGAGGAAGAGCTGATATCCCACTTTGTTGAGATATTTTGCTTTTGATTCTTATTTCCTTCGTGAAACAGGAATTCCTATTGTGATCTTACTCTCTTGTTGCGTCGAGGTGTTGCCGAAATTTTCGCTGCGCACAACAGTCTCTACTTTTTATCATTGCCTTGTTAAGTTCTGCCAATCACATTATGTAGAAATACAGTGTTTAATGACTTCAATAACAAATGAACTTCTACGCTTCGTGCAACGATTTAAGAGTTTATACCCTTGAAATAGATCGACAGGAATACAGTTGAGTTACACCCATCGAGATGCCCTGCAACGCTGAAACTATCCTATTGATCAGGGCATTCGAGCTATTGCGAAAACCTTTTATAAGCTATAGTCGACATTTTAAGGGACCACGATGGAGGCAGAATGTGTGCATGCGAGAACATTCTTTAATTAACCAACTTATAAAATATTTGGTAGTAAGTATCTAAAATTATAAGACTCCTACGAGGGAATTTCATTATTTGGAAACTAAGTGGTATTGTCCTAACTTTTGCTGAAAAAACAATTTTGAGTAGCGCACACAGTAGTTATTATTTGTATGTATTTTTTTTTCTTTTTCATTATTTTCCTCTTTTCTTTTAGTTTTTTTGTTTGCACAGACATTGTTCTTCCATTGTTTTACTTGCATATTATCCTATACACTCTTAAGCTAATGCTATAATGCTAAATCAAGCTGATGCGCATTGTAGTATAAATTGAATTCCCATTTGTATACTACATTGAAGTTCCATGTTTTTTTTTTTCCTATTGCAAGATTATAAACGTCTACAACCAACAGTATGAGAGCGGGGCAGCATTCTGGCCAGACGTACAAAGGCGCTTGATAACTGCAATTATAGTATCACAGCTTCTGCTCATGGGCTTGTTGAGTACCAAAAAAGCATCTCATTCTACGCCCTTGCTCCTCGCCCTCCCGGTATTGACCATATGGTTTCACATATACTGCAAGAATCGATTTGAGCCCGCATTTGTAAAGTTCCCATTGCAGGTTTGTCATAATCCGTATATTTTGTATGATACACCGTTCTCTTTTGACAAATATTACTTCCCATTTTAAAAATTTGTAACACTCCCAATACTTTGCAAAAAAAAAAAAAAAAATCTTCTTTTTCATTCTTTTATTTATTTTTGTAAAACAAAGAAATTCCTACCCTACCCTCACCGTTGGTTGCCGGAGACAGATGTTAAGAAATTGTGAGGGTTTTTTTGGTAAAAGAAGAAATTAAAATGTGAAAAAAAAGGAATTTTTTTTTTCCCTAAGGCCATCGGGGGTTATGTGAGAAATGTCTTTGATGTTGAGTAAAAGGAGGGGGGAATACAAAAAACAAAGCATTGGGAGGTTCATGAGAAACGCCTCAAAGTATTGCAGGATTTTGTGGGGAACACCCCAAAGTATTGAAGGTTTCGTGAAATTTACCAATGTTTAAACAATGAGGTCTTCTTAGAACTTTGCCCTCTCAAGTGCAATGTTCTTATCTAAATTAATTAACAAAGGCTTTAAGCATACACATTTTCTAAATTGTTCTTCGAAACTTCTCTTTACAGGATGCAATGGTGAAGGATACATTAGAGCAGGCTACCGAGCCAAACTTAAATTTGAGAGCTTACCTTCAAGATGCATACATTCACCCGGTTTTCCAAAAGGACAAGGTCGAGAACCCAGTTGCCATTGATCAGGAAGAAACTAGCCCTCTCGTGCGCACAAAGAGGACTTCTCAAAGAAACACACCCGCAGAAAGCAAACATGGTTCTGATGCCGGTTCAGAGATTGATTTCTAGCTATTGACTTTACATCATTGTTTGTAAGTTCTCACTAACCAATGAAGTTCTGTTCACTGATTTTGCTGATCTATTTCCTTGATGAAGCCTCACTCTACTTCTTGCATCACCAAAAAGCTATAGGGTTAATTGCGCACAGACACACAGACTCGTGTAGTATCGTTGTTTTGAACTTACTAGCCATGTATGTTCCTTGTTGAAAATAGCCCCGGTTAAACTTTTTGACTCTTCTACCCTTTACGAGGCTCGCTATTTTCACCTCGGGGTAATATCTGCCCAAATTTCACCAAGGTAAAAAAGTCAAAAAATTTGACTCGAGTATCTATCTGCAGCAATGGAACTACACTAGTAAGCGCGACACAATGTATTGCAGGGAGTCGGTTCAATTGACCAAAAAAATGTATTGATTGATACCAAGTGTGTTGACATATTAGTAATATGTAGGCGGTTGTGTAAGGTTGTGTTTGTAGGGGCCTATATAAGCCCAAGAGATTTTAGCCATAAAATATAAGGGTTTTCAATTCATTATGGTATCAGAGTCAAAACCCTAGCTGCCACCATCCTCATAACCCTAACCCTAGCCGCCGCCCTAGTGCCTCCGACTCACAGCCACCCCAAACCCTAGCCACTGTCCACCTCACCCCGGCGCACGTACTGCTGCCGCGCGCGCGCTGGCCTGCTGCTGTGTCCCGCGCTTCCGCTGTCGTTGCTGCTACGCCGCGCGCGCGTTCTTTTGTCTTACGCTGCTGTCTGCTGTTGCTGGCTGCTGCTCGCTAAACCGTTGCGCTCCCGCTCGCCGTGCTCCACAAGGTGGCAGTGCCGATGATGTGTAGCGTGATAGATTCCCTCGATATATCAGTCATAGAAGTGATGAGAGGATGTGTAGCTTGTTAGATTTACTTGACATTTTAGTCCTAGAACTGATGAGAGGGATAGTGTATATCTCACGGTGTTGAGATACATCACTTTTGATTCTTGTTTCCTTTGAAAAACGAGAATTTAGTTGAGATATTACTCTTGTTGTGCAACAGAAGTGTTGCCGAAATTTTCACTGCGCACAACAAGGGTTCGAAGAGAAGGAGAACCAGTGGTTGATCTAGATAGATGGAGGAGATCATCAAGAAGTTGAACCCCGCGAAGGTCTCAACTTTGATGCTGTTGATGAAGTTGTCGGCTGGTGAGAGCGCGACAAGGTCACCGACGAAGTTAGAACTTCCACCCATCGATCTGAAGCTTGATGGACTGGCTACTTACCTGGGCTGGTCATGACGGGTGAAATACATCCTTGCAGGGAGGAACCTGGAGGGGTACTTGACAGGAGAGAAGACAGAGCCGTCTGAGACCTCGATGGGAAGAGATGAGTAGAAGTTCATTCATATGTTGGTGTACATCTGGCTCCTCAACTCATTGGTCCAGTCGATCGTCGCCACAGTGGATGGTATTAAGAAGGTGAAGGATGTCTGGGAGAAGCTGAGGAGGACCTATGATGGGGTGGGGAATAATCTGAGGGTGTTCCAAATCAAAGGAGAGATCGATGCCACAGTCCAGGGAGAGAGGACTGTACAGGAGTATGCCACAGAGTTGGAGCGCATGTGGCTAGATTATGATCACTTCTCACCTCGGACGAGCTGCAAGAACCCGAAGTGTAAGGAGCGAGAAGCCTTTCTACAGGAGAGGACTATGGTGTTTCTCAAGGGGATGGTATCAGAGTTTGATCAGAGGATTGCATTGCTGCTAGCTCAGCCGAAGATTCCCACACTTAAGGAGGTAGTCTCGGTCATGATTCAGGAGGAGACTTGCATTAGGCTGCAAGCGGGGACAGGTGGACTTCCTGTGGTGAAGTAAGCATTAGCGGTCTCTAGCAACAGTAGATCCAAGGAGGAGACTCGGCAGTGCTACAACTACTGTGAAATGGGTCATCTAAGGCATGCTTACACCAAGCCACCCAAGGAAGAAGATTTGGATGGACGTGGACAGTTCGGAGTTGGTGGTCGTGACCGTGGGGGTCAACGAGGTGAAAGAAGAGCAGGCAACCGGGCGAATCTGATGGTAGCAGAAGGAGAAGAAGCAGCTGAGGTGGTCTTTACTGAGGAGGATCATGCTCTCCTGGAGATACTCAGGAGGAAGCAGAAAGTAGCAAGAGATGGAGACATGAGGAGTGGGACTGAGGAGGCATCCACTTCGTTCTTCATCAGAGGCAATACTGCTACTTATGCTCATCCGACCAAAGGTACTGATGACATACATGCTCTTGCTTCTATGTCTCCTGGTAGATTATCAGAATGAATAGTCAACTCCAGTGCGTCTCGACATGTGACAGGTAATGCTAGTGAGTTCTCATCGTATACTCACCTAGCATCGGCTGATAATATCCAAACAGCTGATGGTATATTTTAGCCAGTGATTGGTAAGGGTACAGTCAATTGTATAGGTTTATAACTTTGTCCAATGTTTTACATGCTCCTTCCTTTCCAGTCAATCTTTTGTCCATTAGTGCTATCATACTCTAACTAAAATGTATTGTTTCTTTTAACATTCTCAAGGTGATCTTCCAGGAGAAGGAGACAGGACGGAGACTTAGGACTAGCACATGGAGTAGTGGACTATGGTACCTGGATCGTGAAGGGCTGGACTCGGCGTTGGTGTCAATGGTAGAGAGAGCAGGAGTAGGATCTGAGATGAGTACTGAGAGTGTGTTGATGCTTCATCACCAGCGCTTGGGATACTCATCCTTTAGTGTTTTAAGTAGGTTGTATCCATCTTTGTTTGAGAAAGCAAATAAACAGAAAGCTAATAAACAGAAACTTGTGTACGATGCATGTGAGTTTGGAAAGCTTACTAGAAGCTCTTATGTTAGTTTTGGTCATAGGAGTTCTCATGCATTTGACCTGATACATTCAGATGTTTGGGGGCCTTGTTCCACAAGTTCTATGAATGGATACAAGTATTTTGTTACCTTCATTGATTGCTTCTCTCGCGTTACTTGGTTATACTTGATGAAAAATAAGAGTGAAGTGTTTGGTTATTTTCAAAACTTTCATAGGTATGTTCAGACTCAATACGGAGCAGTGGTGAAGGTATTGAGGTCTGATAATGGGACAGAGTATACCAACAGAGCGCTTGAAAAATACTTGTCAGCTCAGGGAATACAACATCAGACTACGTGTCCATACACACCAGCTCAGAATGGGATAACGGAAAGAAAAAACAGACATTTTTTAGAGGTTGCTAGAAGCATGATGATCTCCATGAATGTCTCAGAAACATTATGGGGGCAAGCAGTGTTGACCGCAGCTCAGCTGATCAACAGAATGTCCTCGAGAGTGTTGGATTAGAAGTCTCCGTGTGAGACGTTGAAGGGAGATAATGGTGGGATTCTTCCACTGAAGGTGTTTGGCTGTGTGTACTTTGTGAAGGACAACAGGTTATCCGTCGAGAAGCTTATCCCTAGAGCGGTGAAGTGCATCTTTGTGGGATATTCTGCTACTCATAAGGGATATGTTTGCTGGAGCCCGGTGGAGAAGAGACTTTTTGTGAGCATAGATGTACACTTTCGAGAACTCGAGCCATATTACACCCGGGAGGTAACTTCATTCGTTGGTGACTCGCCCGATATTGGAAGTATGAGGCGAGAGGGGGAGAATGGTAAGAGGCAGGTGAACAATGTGGAGAATAATGTGGAGAAATCGATTTCTCTATCGATTTCTTGGGAGGAAGAATTGGATGAGGAGGAGTAGGAGAATAAAGAAGAAGAGGAGAAGGTGACAAGAGGTGTTAGGCTCACGGTTCAGGGGGAGCTATTTACCTATAGTAGGAAGGGGAAGCAAACTGCAGGAACAGTACCTACAGTGCCACTGGTACCAAATCTCTTGCCAATGCCTGCTCCGACTCCTGAGATACCTACACCACCACCAGATTCCTCCCAATGTGATATTATTCCTCTCCTTACTCCTCCCACACCAATATCAGTACGGAGGACTACTCGCAGCAATGCGGGAAATCCTCCCGATAGATATGGTTAGGATCTTGCCCAGTTTATATCATATTCTAACATCTCTATTGTACATGGAGCATTTATTACATCATTAGACTCTGTTACTGTACCTAACAATTGGCAGGTTGCTAAGAAGGATCCAAAGTGAAAAGCGGCTATGCACGAGGAGCTAGGGGCTCTTGAGAAGAACCACACTTGGGAGTTAGTAAAACTACCAGAATGGAAGAAAGAAGTTGGATGCAAGTGGGTCTTCACTACGAAGCAGAATCCAGATGGACAGGTTGAGCGCTACAAGGCTCGTCTGGTGGCAAAGAGTACAGTCAGACATATGGCATCGACTATGATGAGACTTTTGCACCGGTGGTAAAGATGAGCACTGTTCGGACCTTGATCTCTCTGGCAATAAATGGTGCATGGAAGCTACACCAACTAGATGTGAAGAATGCATTTCTTCATGGAGATCTAGTGGAAGAGGTATACATGAAGATACCATCAGGATTCGACATAGATTAGACAGTGGGCAAGGTTTGCAGATTGAAGAAGTCTCTCTATGGGCTGAAGCAGTCTCCTCATGTTTGGTTCGACAGATTCAGGAGGACTATGATAGGTATGGAGTACCAGCAGATTAACATCGATCATACCGTATTCTTTCGATGGAGTGGAGGTCACATTACCATGCTTACGGTATGTGTGGATGATATGATTATTACAGGGGATGATGAGAAGGAGATTGCCCAACTCAAAGTGAGACTGGGTAAGGAATTCGAGGTGAAAGATTTTGGCTTGCTTCGACACTTTCTTGGAATAGAGATAACTCGAGGAGCGGAGGGGATTATCCTCTCCCAAAAGAAGTATGCATTGGATCTTCTCAAAGAGACAAGAATGTAAGGGTGTAAACCTGCAACTACACCGATCGACCAGAAGTTCAAAATGGGGGCTGAGGCTGGAGAACCAGTTGATCGTGACAGATACCAGAGGCTGGTGGGTAGGTTGATCTATTTGAGTCACACACGTCCCGATATCTCCTTTGCAGTGAGCGTGGTGAGCCGCTACATGCATGATCCGAGGAAGGGTTATATGGATGCAGTTGACCAGATTCTAAGGTATTTGAAGAGTGCCCCCGAAAAAGGACAGATATTCAGGAAGAATGAACATGTGAGCATTGAGGGTTATTGTATCTCTGATTGGGCTAACTGTGCTGATGACAGGAGGTCCACCTCAGGATACCGCATCTTTATAGGAGGCAACTTGGTCTCGTGGAAGAGCAAGAAGCAGTCAGTGATAGCTAGATCGACAGCTGAGGCGGAATATAGAGCTATGGCCTTGGGAGTTGCAGAGTTGTTGTGGCTGAAGAGAATGTTGGTGGAGCTAAATCTGGATCAATGAGCCAAGATAAAGTTGTGGTAGTCAGCCATCAGTATCGCCAACAATCCAGTGCAGCATGATAGAACCAAACACATCGAGATCGATAGGTTCTTCATCAAAGAGAAGCTGGACAGTGGACTACCAGAGTTAAGTCATGTTCCAACTAAAGATCAGACAGCAGACTGTCTGACTAAGGGACTTAGCTCGGTAGATATGATTAGAGGATGTGACAAGATGGGCTTAGTGGATATCTTTCGCCCATCTTGAGGAGGAGTGTTGACATATTAGTAATATGTAGGGGGTTATGTGTAAGGTTGTGTTTGTAGGGGCCTATATAAGCCCAAGAGATTTCAGCCATAAAATATAAAGGTTTTCAATTCATTAAAGTGCTCTAGTCTTCTCTTCACAAAACCTTTTTTTGATCAAAATAAGTCCCTCTATTTAGTTGGTCTCGTTATTTACCACCAATAATTGAGATGAATCAGGGTGCTTAATTAATTTTTCCTCGTAAGAAACTTTTACTCTCATTCTTGTGGTTCCTCCTATTTAATAGTGTATCCAGATGGTGAGAAGTAGATACAGGATTAATAAGTAGAATGCACCATGAAATAGCTAGACATTTTGAAAACCGGCAACATCTCCATGCAAAATTCAGGTTACAAGAACTAATTGAACTCAAGCTGCAGACAACTTAAATGCAACAGATTTGCAATTTTATTGGAATTCCATTCTCCAAGGTTCTTCACACAATGCCCACCCAAATCTTGTGTTTGTTCGCCCTTGTTTATTTTTCTTTTTAATCTTCTGGAAGACACAACGTTGAACATCTTAGCTTTTTCCAGGCCATTTTCAAGTTACCGAATCGAAAAGAGTTCTGTAAATCTACATCTTATTCCCAACAGATGCTGTCCTAATATATGACTCACATTTCTGCAGGTCTTTAAATGCTTCGTTCAAGCAAGTTAAAAGATACCAAACTAAGGAGTACGAAGGTTATGAGATAGATTCATTAGAGTTTCTTTTGTGTTTTCTTTTTTCTTGGTCATATATTTATCTCCCCTTGTAAATTATCACTACTTCACGTGAACAGAAACCTTACTCTTTGAAACAATTGGATTTAGTGAGAAGTAACAAGGAAAGGATTGCAGTTTCAATACAGCCATTCAAAGGGCAATTGTATATATATATACTTCTAATGGAAGTTGAGGGGGAGTATTGCCGATTCAATGGCGGACTTTCTTTCATTACCAAAAGGCAATTTTACTGTGGATTTCACAAAACCCCACAATGAACTTTGTGTTTACACAAAACTCTTCCAAGCTGCATAAAATAGAGAGAAAACAAAAGCCTCCTGAATTTGTCTCACTTTAACTGTCGTGACTAACAACAGTTAACTTGTCACATGCTTTGCATACGACGTGTTTTTGATGATTTTTCATTGCACATTTTAAACTTCGTTGAAGCATAAGTTTCGTGGCAAGGATAGATAGGAAACGGGATCGTTTAGACTTTTTAATCCTTTATGTTAAACATTGCTTTATAACAATTTTCAATAGTTTAGAGAGTTTTAGATTTTTTTAATCCTTTATGTTAAACATTGCTTTACAACAATTTTCAGTAGTTTAGAGAGTTTTCTATAATTGTTTCGTATCTCGTATCAATATCTACTACATTCTAGAAGTACAACCTTTAGATATTTTCTCCTACTAGGTTTTATGCACGTGCAATGCACGTTGTTAAATATCATGAGTAAATATTTTTAATTTATTCCCTTACTAAAATTTGTTCCTCGGTCCACTTTGATCGTTTTTGTTCACTTATGCCTTTAAATTTTAGCATTGTGATTATTTATTTTCTTTGATGTTTGTTTGAATGGGCTACATTAAGTTTAAATTTTTATGTTGATAATTAAATTGATGGGAAACAAATATAATCTAAAGCCAATTTGAATTTTCACATGATTTGGATCGACATAAAACCAAGCTTGAAAGTATGATGTTGTAAAAGTAAAAAAAAACACTTAAAAATAGTGTTATAAAAGAAAGGTGGATAATTAAAGCTTAAAAGCCAAGATGATAAATTAAAAGTGAGCTAAAATAAAACTAAAGAGAATATGAAGTCTGTTGCTAATTAATTGATAGACTTCAGAAAAAATCATTGACTAAAGATTAATGCTAACTCTAGTATATTTTATATGATAAAAGCATCTACATAACCATATAAAAATATTTAAAAGAGTTCATGAAAATCATTTCTAAAGATTCCTGGTTTTCCACAAAAAATTAATTTATTCAATATAAAATATTCAAAAAATAAAATCTTTTATTCTTTTTGTTTCATTTTTTATTGATTTAAGATCAATCATTCTTCACATTAATCTTTTTCTTGAGTAATTTTAGAGCCGTGTCTTCATCATCTATATTGATTGTGACACCAGACTAGAGCTGGATTTCTTGTGTAATTATTTTTCCCTGAGCTCGTTCATGTTTTGTCTTCTCGTCTTACTTCACAAAGAAGTTGAATGCATTTTTGATGTTCAACAAAAATTCTACAAATACAGACATTGATTATTTTTGTGTTTCAATGAGACTAAATGTTAATTTTATATATATGAAATTTTTTTGTTTTTAATTTATTTTTCAAAAAAGGTTAGGAGCTATCTCTTTTTTCTTTGCAATAAATTCTTTTGGTTTGCATCCAATAAGAGTTTCTGTCGCGTTAAATAATGTTACTTTTACTCTATCTATGTTATTTTCCATAATTATCTGAATTAAATAACTGTATTTTTTATTATCAAATTGTCTTAAATTATAATGTTAATATTTAATCTTGATATGTTTATTTCATGAATAAGGCATATTACTCAACATTGGTACTACTTTATTAGTAATTTTGTGATATTTATCATTTGGACATTCTTATTAACATCTCTATCCAATCTTCTTGTTGTATCCTTTGCAAGCTAGAACCACAGCTCAACTTTATTGTAAATAGTAGTTATCTTTACATTATAGGTCCAATAGCGTGTCTGTATATTGGTAGAGTATTTTTAAGTTAAATTGTGTAAATTTTAGAGTAGGTCTTATAAGATCATACCTCTTTAATATTGTGATTATTGCATACATCAATAGTTTAAAATTGTATTGTATTTATAAAGAGCCTTAATGGATATGCTTCTATATTAGCAGCTTGTTCAGAATAAGTCATGCGTAGTAGCTTTAAAGTGTAATATTTTTTTATTGTGTTATATGTATGTTTGCTTGGTTTATTTATCATTCTTGTATTTCTTTAATAAGTTGTATCTTTGTGTTGGTTGTTAACATAATTTACGATAACATGCATATTTTTCCTACAAATTTGAGACAGATATAATGTGAATTTTATGTTTAGTGACCTTTAATAAAAAATTTAGTAGTAAAATATGCTACATTCATATTTAAACATCTTGAAATCTAACAGTGCTATTATGTACTTATCTTTGATCGTGTCTTTAAAAACTAATCCTTTATTAAGTAGTCATATCCCCAAATAAATTTACTTGCAAAGTCATACCATATATTGGAAAAAGAAAAATATCAATTTTAATTTTTTTTACTTATGCTATTGTAACTAATTATCATCTATATATCTTTTGTCCATTATAGTAATTTCTCTCATCTTATCTGGCTTGTTATATCTCGCAACATAGTTGATCAATGACTTCACTTTAGTTTCTATTGTAAGATTATTTATATGTAATTTTATATTAAGCTTATGATTCATTTAGTATTTCAAGAATAAAGTAAGAAAATTTATACATACAAACTAAATTTTCTTGTATCTTTCACGGTGAATGTTTTTTTAATTGGGACAAAATTGTTAAACATTTCTTCAAGGGGAACTCATCGGTGCTCTTTGCTAGATATACCTTTTGTCAATTTCAGTTCAAGTGATTCATGAATTTTTTTTCATATTTTGGGTTTATTTACTTCACTTCTCTATTTAAAAATAAAAAAGCTTAATTTTTTTAAAGGATATCTCTGAACTTCTTGATAGTTTTTTCATGCAATAATCCTTGTATTTTTTTACTCTATAAATATTATTAACATCAGAGATGAATATTTATACATTATAATCAATTACTGCTAACTTATTATATTATAGTCTTTTGTTAGTTTTATGTAATTTAGTCTTCTATCAATTAATGTTGTTGCTAACTTATTATATTATAGTCTTTTGTTAGTTTTATGTAATTTAGTCTTCTATCAATTAATGTTGTTACTAATATTATATGTATTATAGTCTTTTGTTAGTTTTATGTAATTTAGTCTTCTATCAATTAATGTTGTTACTAATATTATATGTTCCTTAAATTTATATAGTAATATTAATTTTTAATCTGTCATATATTTTTTAAATTTTTATTCCTAAACTAGATAGTTTTAATCATCGTAATTGTTATTTTTTACCAACGTCAACTTAGACTATTTTTAGATGCTAAAAAAGGATGATAAACTTTAAATTGAAACTTAAATTTATATATCCTAATGAAATGATATCAAACATTTACTCTTTTCTTTGCTAATTTTTAGCCTTTTGTGATTTTAAACTTTTAAGGGTTTGTTTTGTAATTTTTTTAACTTTAATGTTATTTTTTTTAATTTTTTAAATTTTAAGTTGTATGTTTGTAATTTTTATGTTTTAAGAGTTGGTGGTAAGTTTTTAAATGTTAAGGTGTTTCTTTCAACTATGAAATTTTGAGTGTGTTTTTAATAATTACTAAAAATTTGAGTTGTTTTTTGATAAATTTAAATTTTCAATGATCTGCTGATAATTTTTAGATTTGATGTCTACCGGTTATAAGTTTTAAAATTTTAGGATTTTTGCGATTTTTAAATTTTGAGGGAATTTTTGTAGTTTATGTAACTTTGAGGTTATTTATTATAAATTTTAACTTTTTAAGTGCCTAATTGTAATCCACGAAATCTATCTATGTTGTTTGCAAGTTTTAAAGTCATTGATTTTAGGGTGTTTTTTCTAATTTGAATTTTTGAGGTTGTTTCTACAATTTTAAAAATTTTGAAGGTATAATTGTAATTTTTAAATTCCTCGGGGGTTGTTTTTAATTTTTAGATATCATGTTTGTTGTTTTAAGTTTTAAAAAGTCACGGTGTTTTGAGTAATTTTAAAGTTTTAAAGATATTTTGTGTAATTTTTGAATTAAATCTTAATCTTATTTTTTTAAATTGCTGAGTTATAGGTAGTTCATGTGGGGTTAATATAGGATATAATTAGTATTAAGATAGATTAAGATTTAAATAAAAAATTTAAAATAATATTCCATGTAGTTTGTTAATCTTTTTTTAAATTGTTGAGTTATAAATAGTTCATGTGGGATTAGATAAGATATAATTAGAATTACAACAGATTAAATTTTAAATATAATATTTAAAAAAATAAAGGGTAATATTGATCATAGAAAGATTTTCCTGAACTCGTGTTTTTAAAAGGAATATGATATGATTATTAGACAACTTGCTTTTTATGAAACGCATCGGTTATTTGCTCTGCTTTCTTCTAACTACAATTTACGTCCTGTTAAAATGTGTCATGCATTGGTTTAACTTTAACAAAGGCAGGAGATAATAATGCTTTAAAGACACATGCAATCAATAAATAAACAATTCCAAACTTAAATCAGCAATTGTTTTTTTTTACCAAAATAGCGCACATGAATTTCTTCCACTGAGATGAGGAAATTGAGCAAGAGAACAGCTACAATCACATTTTCTTGTACCGGAAATGCCAGCTGCGCTTGGATTTCATACGGATTATTCACCCAAAAAAAAGTATTAAACAATTAAAATAGCGGGACGCGGCATGATAAAGAAAACTGGGTAAAAAAATTTGACAGACGCATTGCCTTTTTTTACCATCACCTGCGAAAAACGTAACAGGAAAAAAAAAATGCTTAATTGAAAACTGAGTGAAATTATAATTCGAAAAAATCGTCCAAGGAGCTTTTAATGCCAAACTCGTTGAAGGAGCTTTTAATGCCAAACTGCTTCAGACGGATTACAAAAATTGCTAATTTGGTAATTTTGCCTTTTTGAAAGACATTTTACTTTATCCTTGTTTTTCACTTAAGACCTTTATTTATTTATTTATTTATTTATTTTTTATTTTTTTAATTATTTTTTTGGATGCAAGCTTTGCATATGTACTCAATACGAACCAAAGCAAATCAACAAGTTTCTTTTT